CCAGGGCCCGCAACGCGGCCCGGCCTTCTCCGCCCTCCTCGCCGTGACGAATCGGCGCCCGGCTGGGATAGGATCCGAATTGGAAGAGTTCTGAGGAAACTGGAGAGCCTGAAAAAAAATCCTCGGCTGCACTAAGCCTCGCCACGTCTTCACGGGAAGGGCTATTCGTCTGAGGAGAGCCGGCCGCGGCCCGCAGTGAAATCCCGGAACGTGTGGAAAGTGCGAGCGCGGAAGCTCCGGCGCGAGGGGCGGGGCGAGCGCGGGACAAAGGGAAGCGAAGCCGGAGCTGCGGGCGCCTTTTCGGCCCGCGGGTGAGTGTTTCCAAGTGGGCCCGACCCGGTCGGGGAGGGTGGCGGGCCGTGGTGTGTCGGCTTGGCGGGACCCCGAGTTCCCGCGGGGTGCTGGGGGTCGGGCTCAGCTCCGAGGCGGGAACTAGGGCTGGTGCGGCCTCTGTGAGGCCTAGCGGCGGCGGGGTCACAAGGAAGCCCCATCCGGGACAGCTCCTCCGAGGCGCCACTTTTCCATTTCCGCTGGACCTCGGACGCTGGCCGAGCACCGATGCACACCCCCCTGCGGGGGTGTTGTCAGAAAAGCTCAACCTCGGCCACAAACTCAGGGGGTGGGGACCTCGGGAAGCCCTCCGAGCAAGGCCTGCCGGAGGGGTCTCACCCATCTGGAAGGTGGTTCCCTTTTTGGTTCAGGCAGCGACCTAAAGACTCCCGGAGTGGCCTGGAGTAAGGAAGGAGTGAACTCTGAGACGTCGTGGGTTGGGTTTAAACCCACCCCTGGCAGTTCTGGGCCTACGGCTTTAGACACTATCTTAGTCGCCCTGAGACTGTTTCTTGGTTTGTAAAATGGGGACAGCCGTATGTGTCTGGTAGGGTCGTTGTGAATAGTGAGCGAGACTGTGTAATAAGCTTACCTTGTCAAGGTAATTAATTATTCAACAGATACTGAGTTCCATGCCAGGCACTAGGGTTAGATCCACTCTTAGGAGTTACTGGAGAGCAATCATTTGTTAGCCTTGAAGTGTTAGGGACCAGGGACCTTGTTACAGTTTCTGTCGGGGCTCCCCACAGCAAGGCCTACAGGGTTTTGATGGAAGAAAAGAGAGGCCTGGGCTGAGAAACTGAAGTTCCCACATCAGAACTCTCAACCCCGATGATGTGAGCCTTTTTCTTAAAATGGAGACTGGAAGAAGAAAAAAAGTGTTGCACATAGCAATGGGTGAAAGTACTCCAGTAATCGTAGTTTGTTTATTCACCTTTCTAAAAATGAATTTTCATCTCTATATATTACCATTTGTGGTGTGTGTTGAGTAAGGAGCAGGCTCACATCTGTCCATGTTGTGAACTGGTAATACCAGGACCAAATCCGTGAAGAATTGAGCTAGGTTTGAGCAATACAATAATAAATTAGACCATCCCTCCTCTCTTTGAAGACAAAACCGAGCCATATTGGCATATCGTGTAAGGGAAGATGCCATTGATCTTTGTAACCAGATAAGAATACAGAGAAGATGCAGTTGTTCTGCCCAGATAATTTATCAGAAAAGTACCTGAGTAATTTCTGAAATGGTCTATAAAAAGGACCAGTAAGAGTCATTCCAGTAGACTCTGAAGATGTGTTCCCTCACTTATGAAACTATTTACCAACAAAAGAGAATATAAAGATTGTTATCATACCAAATTATCTCTCACAGTGTTTCCAGGAATAAGACATTTGCTCTGTCTCAATAAAAGATGTCCGCTAAAAAAAGCAGAGCTGCTGGTCAGGGATTTGTCAGTGTCTGGTAGGCTTTGTTGGGGTCACCCTGATAATACATCACATTCTACTGTCATTATTTTTTTTTACCAGTCTGAGTAAACGTTTGCATGGCATCAGCAAAATGTTTTCCATACAAGACGTGGCTCAATATCATAAGCAAAAACTTAAAGATCCGTTTCTAATACAACTCTAAATTTCCCAGTAACTTTCATCATTTAATTCTGATCAACCAAATGATTACAAGAACTAGTTAAAAATATGCAAAAGGCTTGATTACTAGCAATTAATAGTGACGTAATTTTGCTCAGAAATACCAATCAAACTACCCTATTCTTTAGGAAAACATTCTCTTATGCTTGCTGAGTTTTGATTCTCTTTTTTTTTCTTTTTTTTCTTTTTTTTTATTTTAGTGTCTCAGATTCATTCTTAAGGAACTGAGAACTTAATCTTCCAAAATGTCAAGTAAGTTTCAATTTTTATATTTATCAATCTGTGTTAATACGAGACTAATGCCCTAGCAAATGGGAATTCCAAACTACTCTCATTTTTTTTTTCTTCAAAACAGGACCATTGGTAGTTTTGTTGCATAGTATTATATCTCAGTTGTTTACAAGAAGTTATTTATTTTCTTTCAAACAGAAAGACCATCTTATGCCCCACCTCCCACCCCAGCTCCTGCAACAGTAAGTTTTAATTTTCTTGTTAATGTAATAGCCAAGTCTGGCCTTGATACAAAAACCCAGATGTCTTCCAGTGACAGTCACTCAGTCATCACAGCCACAAGATAGAAAATTCAGCTAAAATTCAGCACTTCCTACTAAATAAAATAATTCTTTTCATCCTACTTTGAACCAAACCCAACATCTAAAATTACATACTGTGAGCTTCCAACCTCCTGTGCTCTGTTTTTTCCTAATGGGAAATGAGTGAAACACTTCTTCCTTGTTTTCCCTGCTAAAGAGCCTGTAAGTTGAGTAAATGCTCATTCTGGCATTATTTATCCTTTTGCTATTGTTGATTTTAAACCTAACCTTCAGCTGGTTATTGCAGTTTTTCTCTCACTCTAAGCTAAGGGCTAGGGACATAGCTGAGCGGCAGAGCGCTCGCCTAGCGTGTGCAAGGCCCAGGTGGAGCCCCAGCAACACAAATTTTTTAATGAAACTTTCTTGTCTGTATATATAAAATTTTCACATTAAATAAACTTTCTAGTTCTGAAGATAACAACACTTATCATAAGTCTTATTTTCAAGCTGCTCAAGTAAGAATTTCATTACCTGTGGGTCAGAACTTGCTGCTGAATTTTGTTCTTCTCCATAAATATGCTGATTGGCCTACTGATCTGTTTCAGAGTGTCTGATGGTGGAAACTGTTTTCACCCAGCAAGCTCTAGCCCTGCTTGATCAGCATGTAAAATAATCGTCCAGTCCACAATTCAGATTTCACGACAGCTGTGCAGGCCCTTGTTGACATGCTGAAATGGCTTTCTTACCATTTAAAAAACAAAAATCACTTAGCATAACCATATCCTGCAAAATCAGAATCAGGGTTGTTTTGTTTTGTTTTGTTTTGTTTTGAGACAGGGTCTCTATGTAGCCCAGTCTGGCTTCGAAATGGTGATCCTTCTGCCTCAGCCTCCTAAGTGCTGGGATTAGCAGCATGCCCAGCCCCAAATTAATTCTTTAATATCTGCTAGCTCTTCCTTCCATCCCTCTACCAACTAATTTCAGGCTAGTCTCCTTTTATTACTAATGAGTTCCTTTGTCATTTTGTTTTCTCCATTAGGTAACTAGTCTGATTTACTAACCTGTAGGTGAATGTTTTAGTTACCTTTATCAGCAGTTTGTTTCTCCTGAGATGCTCTTTTTAAAAAGCATATCATGCATTCTTCAGCTCACTTTATTTAATACAGTCTGTAAAGTTACTTTGGTAGACTGTAAACTCTTGTGCTTCATTATTTTCTTTCTTAAAGAATAATTCTTACCACCATCTCCATCACATACTCATGGTTGTGTAAAGATTGAGTTGAGCAATTAAGAGCCTCAAAGATATAACTAGGTCCCTCAACTTTAGAAATGGTATAATTACTATATGCTAGTTTCATTTTTTTTAATTCCCCTATTTGCTCATGTTATTGATTCGTATTGAACCTGTGGCTCTCATTCTTTATGCAGTGCTTAGAGGTATCATTTTTATATAAATAGTGCCTCTAGTAGTTTATATGAATAAACTTGCTATTTATTTTTGAAATAAAGATATTTTAAAAACCAGGATCCCCTCCTGAGTTTTCATACAAAGAAGGGGATCTCTTTTTTTGTCCCTCGTCCCATAATTTCACACAAAATCCAGGAACTAGGAATTCTAACATCTAGTAGAATGAATATAGAATGAGTTAGCCGCTCTCTCTCTCTCTTTTTTTAACTCCATTGCTTTTCCCACCATCACCACCACCCACCCCTCCACGGCCACCACCCAGATGAACCACTCCATGTGTAACATGCACTTCTTTTGTGCCTTTACTATTTCATCTGTGTTTTGCTACTTAAATATGATTAATTTGCGTCTTTTCTAACTATGGGCTATAATTGATCACTTTGTTCTCCTCTAAAAAGTATCACATGTGCTGCCTGCTTGAATGACTTTGGATACTAAGGATATGTACAAGGGCATGTTTTAGGAAATGACATTGATTTTGTGACAACTAAAGTCTAGCGGGGATGTGTCAAGTGTACTCTTGTATAATCCAGGAGAGCTATGTTAATTTCATGTAAAAATGACATTGCTATCACTTATGATTGAGTTTGACTAAGTAAACTATACATTTTTGATCTCTCTTTACTACATTTTTTAATGCATTTTGTCTTGATTTTTATGAACATTGGATGTCATTGTATTAACCACAAGGCCACAATTACATAAGAACCCACTTGTGATTATATCAACACATAATTCACAAAAATCAAGAATTTTGTCGCTGCAGCGAGCAGTTGTATTTGGAAAGGCTGAGAGCCTACAGGAAATCAGATGAAAAAGAAGTTCAAGTCTGTCAACTAAAAAGACGTAGTTCCCATTAAAATTAAATGCATAAACTGTTCATGATCACCTATGGAAGATGGATCAAAGAAGAGATGGAAGAGAAAGCCTATGAGAGAATGACTGGGTTAAAGATCAGATAGTACCCCAGTATGAAATCTATGCATTTCTTACAAGTCCTTGTTTGAAATCATGCATGTGACATCCATTGAATCCAGCATATGTTCTTTCCTACTGACAATTCCTGGCCTCCTGATTTGAGTCTCTTCTCATTTGTCACATATAAAATTACTTAAAGCTGTCTTTGAAAGCAGATCCATTTCTTGTTTTTGTTTTTAGTAAATGAGTGCATCGGTGGCATCCACATAACTGTCCAATAAATCATGTTTCGTTTGCATGTAGTGTTTTCAGACTTAAAGTTTATCATACTTGAAGCTTTCCCATCTCAGACATCACAGATTGCCGAACTCTTATCTCATACTGTTGACCATGAAGTAGTTGTAGATGTTTGAAACTGCAGTGTGATGCCTTCCTCAGAAACAAAACACACATACTCTGTCTCACAAGCATCCCTAACCCCCACCAAGGGAAAGAAGGAAAGAGAAGAAACACACACTCTCACATGCACATGCATGCACATACATACTTGCAGGCTGGTTTCTCAATTTAAAAAAAAAAACTTAATTTCCTCAACAATAACAAAAAGAACAATTACAACACATCATTGCTTGTTTAAATTCAGGTTGCTTTTGCATGCCATATTGCAGATCATTTTTCATTTCTGTGTTTTCCTCGTTTGAGCTCATTTCTCATTCGTGTTTTTGTCTCATTTGTTTCCATCAGCAAATGCCCAGCACACCAGGGTTTGTGGGATACAATCCATACAGTCATCTCGCCTACAACAACTACAGGCTGGGAGGGAACCCGGGCACCAACAGCCGGGTCACGGTAGGAGAATCAACTATTACAGCCTCCGGCAAACAACTGGAATTGACCAGAAATGCCTCCAGAGTTAGGTCCTTTTGAATCAGAAGCACAGCCATTTAAAAAAAAAATTTAACCTGACTTTTCAACTGTTTTGTACAGTCTTACACTGGAAAAAAAAAAAAAAAAGTACAGTCTGGATATATACTTGAAAGAAAAGAAATCCATTCTGTTTTGGTGATCAATAGGGATTAAGCCTTAAACACTTAAGGCTCATACTGTCTATGTAAACAAATCTCGAATTCTTTTGGTTAACTTACTTTGTGTCATGAAGAGTGTCTTTTGTTGTCTAAGGTAATTGGCGTTACTCTCAAGGATGTAATTTCTTAAGGAATGCTTGGACTAGACCTGGCTTCGTCTGAATTAGAAAACTTTGGGCAGACCTGCCCATCTAAACTTCCACACTCAGCTATTTGTCTTTTGGATTTAGTAATTGACCTATCTGAGACTCGTTTCTTTCCAGTTTAACTCAGAAAAAGATTTTACTGTCACCTCAAGGAATTTCAGAATAAAACTTGAATTCTTGGTATCAGATAAGTACAACTGGAGGTCTATTTCCAGTCATGATTTCTAAAATTTGGGGTGTTTCATTTAAGTGATCCAACGAAGATAATCAAAACTGGATACTTCAAAGCTTTTATTTTTAAATTATTTTAAACTCCAAGGAAATTAAGGTAATAAATCCAAAAGTCAAGTACCTTCATTAGAATATGGTATTGGTGAGAATATATACAACACAGAATGGCTGTAATCTTTTTAGTATCTGGTTTTTCATTTGCTGTTTTCCTAAAAAAGAAATGTAACTCAAAAAACAAAACAAAACCCTCTCACCCTGTAGTAAAGCTACAGCTGAAAACTCGTCACTATCAAACCGTGTGTCTATCTTGGTAAGCACATTGCTTAGCTTGATAGGTTTTGTTTGTCTAAATTTTTCATTGTTTCTACATAATTTGTATTTCATAAGCATATCAAGTTCTATGTGCCATATGTATTTCACAGTATCTGAAAAGGATTCTGAAAAATATGTTTATGTGTGCATTCTGCAATGCACATAGTTTCTATGTGCAGCAGTGTATGTTTTTCTCTGGCCTAAATGTGTTGTTTCACAAATGTAATAAGTAGCAAAGTTATCAGATGAAAAAGAACATTATAATTCACATAAGTAAGCAGAATTAGTTTTAGATCATTTGTGTTAATGCAGAACTTTATTTATGGGTAGTAAGTAGAATGATGATTCTGAATCACTCCATACTTTAAGCTCTTGGTAGCTAAAAGTCAGTAGTCCCTGTGATCCTAGAATAACTTGTTTTTGGGTTTGTACAAACAGCCAGTTCTTAATTTGTAGATAGCTGTGAGGCTTCTCAGTTGATACAAAGTAAGGTCTTTCAGTAGAAACCTGATTAGAAAAGGGAGAATGCACTTCTTTCTGGACCTAGGCTGGTTGTGTGTTTTCAATCCTTTCCCTCCTAGGGAGCAGAAGACCTCAGAATGCAGAGTGAGCTCTAGCCTTCAGGATAGGGAGTGGGTTAGGAGTGAAGTTTGGTGTGTGTCTTCTCTGTAGTTGTTTCCTTGTTTTATTGGCCTTTTGTTCTATTACCACCAGACTGATGTGTGAGTAGACTGCTGGAAACCTAGGGCTTGCATTCTCTTGTATCTCTGACTTAGTGTTTTGGGACTCAGATGCTTATAAAAAGGGTTTGTAGAGAATGACCCCAGTGATGCACTACTTGCTGAGCAATGTTCCTGCTGAGTAAATTGTTTTCTATAAATAGCCATAGTGATTTGGTGAAATGATTCTGTGAAACGCCAGTCAAGGGCTGTCTTAATATGTGGGTTGTTTTCAGATAATAAAGCACTTAGGTACCAGATTAAGACCTTTGAAGGATTTAGGATAGCTTTGAGTGCAGCCCATGCCTGATTGGTTTATTCAGGTGATGGTTCACATTCTCTAATATACAGGATTGTAAACAGATTGAGATAGAGTGTTAAAAGCAGCCTACTTCTTGCTAGTAGAAATCCTGTCTCCAGAAGAAAATCCTTAAATAAGACCTTGCCAGAGAAACAGCTAAGAATTGAGAAACAACAAAAAATTCTCTTGTGCTATTCAAGGTAAATCGACCACAAAATCATGGACTTTCTCCACAGATTGACCAGGACCTAACTCTTAGAACAGTTTTTACAAGCCTAAGTATTTGCTTCCCACCTCCAATTCATTGCAAATGGGAAGAAAGAAATCGGAAAGGTGGATTTCCTGATAGCAACAAGGAAAGGTCTTCATCGACAGCAAAGTTGAGCTCTCCAAAACTGTGCTCCTGGGCCACTTAGCCAAAGAGCAGGGCCGATTGCAGTTTTTCTTATCTAGGATCACAGCACAGCAATCACGTAGTAGCTGTTTCTAGTTGACTCTTAACAAGAAAGGACGGAATAACACGCTCAGTGCAGAGTAGAAAAATGTTTGGGACATTTAGAAAGGAGTCTGAGATGTTCAGCAGATTGGTGATATGTGATGGTAAACTTCTCTAGAGTTCCTAAACCAACTGGAATTTCACTTATTATTCTTAGGGAGTAGGGGAAGTATTGTTTTGTGTTGTTTTGTTTTGTTTTGTTTTTTATTTGTAATTCTGTTTGGGTCCCTTTTTTGGAAAGGAGTGAATTAGCAAATCTATTAATGTTCTAAAATGTGATTCTTTGGAAGATTTGAGAAAATATTAATAAACTTTGGTTTTTTTAGCTGTTTTAATGTATACCCAAAGTTTGAAATATAAATGTGTTAGAATTTTTACTTGTTAACAGTCCCTTCAAATATGGACACAACTTTATTTTGTTTTATTTGTCACTCACTTTGTGTTCCAAAAGTTTGTCTGGGGATGGGTTAGAAATGTTTTCTAATCATGTCCTGTATTGGGAGGCAGACTTTCCATACAAAGGTTAGCCGTGTAGGACTCTGACTTCTTAGGGCTCCTACAGTGGTGCCCGCGTCCCTGATTGGCTACTCTAACCACTGTGACAGTTCTGCCCGCATGTCTCGCTTCATTCCACCGCCCACTGCTGGTTAAGACCACATCTGTCTGTGGGTCCAAGCAGCAAGGACTTGCTGGTACGTGTGTTGGTGCTGAGAGTGAAGCAAGCAGTCCTCTCCCCATTCCGACCGTGAGAGTCAGTGTCAGGGTTCCTTCCCCCGCAATGTCAGAGCCAAATCTGATAGACCATGTTCCTTCTTATTCTGGCCTCTTCATCAGTGTGGAGATATGAAAAGGAGATAGAAAAGTTCAGAACTAGATGCCCTTGGAGTGGCAGCTTTATATAGGGCATCGGCTGGAAGTCAGCTGATGTCTTCTTGTCTGTGCCTGTATCTCCTCGCATAGACAGGACCAATCACTTTAAATATTTTTTTTTAATTTTCTTTTTTCTGTATCCTGTCCTTCCTTATCTTCATTTCTTTTCCACAAAAGCAATTTTGTAGTATGGGCCTCAAAAGTAACATGAGCAAGGTCTGCCAGTGTCAGCGCCTAACGCGCTTTCTTGTTTCCATGTGGCCATCTAATGAGGACAAGGACAGTGTGACTTGAGTCTGTGCATCTTGATCCACTGTATGAAAACCGCTGCCCAAGACTACAGAGACATGAAACAAAACTACAAGATAATGTAAAACCTTAAGAGAATTTCTAAAGGACATATTTTATTTTCTTTTTAAATGTATTTGCTAGGTTTCTAGTTACCTCCTATTTCTTATTGGTGATTTTTTTTTAACATGGGAGGTGGTCTTTATGTTGTTTGTGTGGGGTACATTCCTAACATGATAACGAGATCCCCTGTAGACAGTGTGTGAATGGTAAGTGTTCAGAATCTGCAGATATCCAACGTTGACTGTATGAGTAATAGTAACTGAACAAATAAAAGGTAACGTCCTAAGTGTGAGGCGTTTGGCTTATAATTCCATTTTCAGTGCATGAATTATGTATAATATTTTATTCTTGCAGCCAGGCTGTCCAACAGTGGAAATAAACTGCTAAGTAAAACATTAAATATTATGTGTTTAAAGTCATTTTCCTTTGATATAAACATTTCTGAATTTACAGTGATATCTATTTTCTTTGGCGAAAATAATAAGAGTCTTGTATCCATGGACGAGTAGAAGAAAGGCGCATTAGAATTTTTAAGGGGCTTTCTTTCAGGTGCTGGTGAGCTCCTAGCAATTGAAGAATGAATGTGTTTAACTCTTTTACAGGCATCATCTGGTATCACGATTCCAAAGCCTCCAAAGCCACCAGATAAGCCGCTGATGCCCTACATGAGGTACAGCAGAAAGGTGTGTACCGGGGACCAGAAGATGGCCTTCCATGCTACTGCAGACGGGCTCGGCGTTGTCCTTACACAAAATAGGGGGAAGGATTAAGTGGTTCGTTCTGATTTCTAAAACTCAGATCGAAGAGGAGCATGGTTAAATAAACTGCTAAAATCTTTTAAACAGATTAGTCTGTAGCAATGAGTAATACCTTTTGAATAATATTGAAAGACATGAGAAAAATGTTAAGTAGAAAGGAGAATGTGCCAGGTGGTGGTGGCGCACAACTCTAATCCCAGCACTTGGGAGTCAGAGGCAGGCAGATTTCTGTTAAGGTCAAAGCCAGCGTGGTCTACAGAGCGAGTCCCAGGACAGACTCCAAAGCTACAGAGAAACCCTGTCTTGAAGAAAAAAAAAGAAAGAATGCAAGACTGTATATATTAATAATCTTATTTTTATTAAGAATAATAATAAGTCTGAGATGTAGCTCAGTAGTAAAACATGTGCTATCAGAGCCCTTAGGATCAATTCCAAGGGCACAAACTGAATTAATTTGTAAGTATAGTAAAAGTATTATTTTGATCATAATTATTATTTATGTGTTTGATAGTATGATGCCATCGTATTATACAAATTAACTCTTCTAAATTTGCTTGAACTGTTAGAGACATATTTTAATTGTTTGCTTAATTTGCTGTAAGCATGTACTGTGATTAATGGTGTTCTTAAATTATCAGTTTGAAGTATTTGAGTAAAATGACATGGTGTATAAGATCTGCCAGGGTAAAGATGAAATGAGATAAGCCAGCTGTTTGCAGTTTTGAAGCAAGCTGATTGGTACATGCTAGTTTGATACTGTCTTCTCTGCCTTTGTTTGTATTTAAAGGGTTCCATAGTAGAGTATTTTTAAATGACTATATACTTAAGCATTAATATTGAATTTTTAACTGTTGACTTTTAAGGTCTGGGACCAAGTAAAGGCTTCCAACCCTGACCTAAAGTTGTGGGAAATTGGCAAGATTATTGGTGGCATGTGGCGAGATCTCACTGATGAAGAGAAACAAGAATATTTAAACGAATACGAAGCCGAAAAGGTAGGGGATAAATGAAATATTTTAAATATAAATAAAACATTTTATTATTTGTGAAAGAAACATAAGGCTTGACCAGAAAGCTGAGGCAGCACTGAAGTTCGTCTACCAAGCTCCCCCACCTAACGTCTGAACCTCGTGTTCTCTGTTCAGAAAGAGAGATGACTATCATGACACCATGCTTTGCCTCGTGCCCCAACATTCAGATGACTGAGGCAGGCACACATGATAGCCTGTAGGACGTACATGATAAAACACCAACACCCCTTTCAATTTCAGATAGAGTACAATGAATCTATGAAGGCCTATCATAATTCCCCTGCATACCTTGCATATATTAATGCAAAAAGTCGTGCCGAAGCTGCATTAGAGGAAGAAAGTCGACAGAGACAGTCTCGCATGGAGAAAGGAGAACCTTACATGAGCATTCAGCCTGCTGAGGATCCAGATGGTAAGGAGGGAAGTGGGGTTTGTGTGTGCATTCTCTCTGAATTAAAATAGAAGATAAATCTTAATTCAAGGCTTTTATTCTATTAAATGGAAAGTATAGTTTTAAGTTATTTCAATAATAGGATTTTAGAGTGTGGAAAATGAGTAAAGAAAAGCAGCTGTATGTGTTACTTTTCAGTCTTTGTACTCAGAATATAGGATTTGTTTGTTTTTTGAAGATAGAATCTCACTGTGTTGCACAGATTTATATTGAACTGATTTCTCCAGCCTCGGCCTCCAAACCCTGGATTATAGACTTCTGCGGACACACCCTAAGTGACTTTATGGGTTTTTTGTTTGAGTTGGTTGATTCTTTTGTTTTGGTTTGTTTTTTTGCTGCAGTTTTGGTTTTTTGTTGTTTGATTTGGTTTTGCTTTTTTGAGACAGGATATCTACATTGCCCTGGCTGTCCTGGAGTGGAATTCACTGTGTAGTCCAGGTTGGCCTTGAATTCACAGATATCTGCCTGCCTCTGCCTTGAACGTTGGGATCAAAGGTGTGTGCTACCACACCCAGATAACTTCTTTTCTAAAAATTTGAAGTTACATCCAGTCTTTTTTTTTTTTTTTAAATTATGTGTGTAGCAAGCCTGTAGGTTTGCACGTGTGAGTCCAGCACCAGAGGAGGCCAGAAGAAGGTGTCAAACCCTCTGGAACTGGAGTTATAGGCAGTTGTGAGCTCCCTGGTATGGGTGCTGGGAACTAAGCGCTCTTCTTCTCGAAGAGCTGCACATGCTCTGAATTACCATACCCAATCTTACTGATTACCTAAATTTACTTAATTAAAGGCTCTTGGAAGCAAAAATTAGTGAGTGTGTGGAAGCATGATAAAACTTTATTTAAAATTTAGTATGAATTTGAGAATACCACTCCTGAAATCACTCCTGTGTGTGTCATATATTACATGTAGACAGGTATTATGTGTTACACATGTACATTACTCACAGATGGCCAGGCTTCCTAGTTAGAATTCCACGTGCAGATGAGCAGATTACTCTCCTGGCATCCGCAGCCAGGCAGTCTGTAACTATAAGGTGTTCCCAAGATAGTCCCCTCCCTTTAGGAGTATGCTCATCCACTCACTTGGCGTGCTGTGTAAATGTTTATTTGTCTTTGTGTCTTACTCCATGCTGAACAAACAGGATTGGAAGCAACAACTACCAGCCACAAAAATTCCAGAATCATAATTTAAGATCCCATTTTAAACACACCAGAGGGGTTCTTAAGAACTTTAAAGAGATTTAAAGAGTGGAGAAGGTTACAATGACACCAAAAGACAGGAATAAATTCAGCCAAGTAGGATGAAGGAGCAGAAAGGAGTTTCAGGAGGATTCATTGAGGTGTTACTGGCAAAAATTCTCATAGAGTAGGACGTAATAAAACTTGAACTAGAAACAGAACTTGAGTGTTAAGCATTATTTGTACTGCTAAAAGTCCATATGCAGACTTGAATTACCCAGATGAGATGAGTGATAACAAGAAAAAGATGACTGAAACAATCAAAGAGCAAGTTTGCAATAACTGCGAGAGTGAATATATCTATACAGTAGAAATAAAGGATCGCATCTTAGAAGCCATGTGTAGAGAATAAAATATTTCCTAAGCAAAATATAACAGCAGGAACTAAGCTTGAGAGGTTCTTACATGAGCAGTAACATGGGATATAATTAAGAAGCTATATTAATATAATGTGATCCTCTAGGACAGTATTTCTCAACTTTCTAATGTGGTCACCTTTTAATACGGTTCATGTGGACCCCCCCAACCATAAAATTATTTCATTGCTACTTCGTAATTGTAATTTTGCTACTGTTATGAATCATGATGTCAATATTGAAATGGAAGAAACCTGATATGCGACCCCATGAAAGGGTCATTTGATTCCTCCAGTGGGTCAAGACCCACAGATTGAAAACCACTGCTCTAGAACTTGAGAGGTAGAAAGAAATACACCAAAAAACAAGAGGTGGGAGCCAACACATTAAGATACGAGGGCAACATCTGCAGACTCCTTAGAGAACTCTCAGAAGGTCCACAGGTCAGACCTTGATTCACACAAGATAGCAAAGGCTTTTTAAATGACTTCAGAGACCATCATATGCAGCATGCGGGCTTCCATGTGTAGCAGGGTTTCCTAAGTACGGCCCCTGTACACTTAAAGGATTGAATAGTTCAGAGACAGCCTTTATTTTTATCTATATTGGAAGGAAAACTAGCTTTGTTTAATGAGTTAGTGTAAAGAAAAGTAGATATTAGTACAGATGACTCCCAGATAAAGGTGATAAAGCAAGATAAAGGAGATACTTGTGTTCCAGAAATAAGCACACATGCTAGGTATGGTAGGGCACACTTGTTATCCCAGACTTGAGAAACTAAGGCAGGTAGGCTAATACTAGTTCAAAGCCAGCCTGGGGTACACAGTAGATTTTGTCTCAGAAAGATCACACACCCTGGGACTCAAGGGCCCAGTAGGTAAGTGCTTTTGCTGTGCAAGCACACGGACTTGAGTTCAAACAGCTGGCACATACCCATAACTCCAGCATTGGGGAGCTGGAACAGGCAGATTCTGGGACCATGGTAGGCTGTTAGTCTAGTCAAATTGGTGAGCTTCCAGTTCAGTGAGAGACCTTGTCTATAAGGCAGAAAGAGAAGAAGACACCTGTCATTCTCTGGCCTCCACATGCATGTGTGCACACTGCAGATCCACATACATGCATCACACATACCAAAAATAACACAGTTGTATACTGTATATACCTAAATTTGGGTAGCACCTTTATATATTCATAACAGCCATGTAAATGTTTAAAATTTATAAAAAATAAATTATAATCAAGTATTTCGGAGTGTGTGGTGGATATTCTTGTGTGTCAATGTTGAGAGTCTTCCTCAGTCTCCACCTGTTCATGATGTGGTTGGGTATATATCCTTGTACTTCCCTGTGCAGGCATATAGAGGTCGGAGGTGACATCCAGATTGCTTCCTCAGTTTCTTCTCTGCCTTATTCTTTGATAGAGTACCTCTCTGAACCTAGAGTGACTGCCGAGCCTCCTGAATCTGCCACACTTAGCTTTTACTTGATACTGGCTGGTTCCAAATTTAGATCTTCATGCTTGCCTCACAGATCCTCATGTGAGCAGTCTCCCAGCCTTGAAATCAAGTTGTTTTTTTCTGTGAGATTAGTTTGGGTCTTTACCATTTTTTTTAATGTAATAAACTATAAAAATACTGCCTGGAAAACTAAATATTGCTAATGAAGATGGTAATATGTTAATTTTACAAATGGATATTTTTATTAATTTTAACAACTATGATAAAGATACCTCCTATTTACAGTCCAGCATTTATCAAATGCTACTAGGAGAGTGGAACATTTGGCAGAATTTCAAGTGCTGCCATCACATGCAGGCTTCACATGGATCCCAGGGCTAGATGTGAACATATGTTGTTTGTATTTTAACCAAACCTCAGACGTGAATTATCCCTTAGTACAGTTGTTCTCAATCTTCCTAATGCTATGACCCTTTATTAATACAGTTCCTCATGTTGTGGTGACCTCCAAACATAATATTATTTTTGTTGCTACTTCATAACTAATTTTGCTACTTTTATGAATTACAATGTAAATATCTGATATATGACCTCTATGAAAGGGTCATTTGATACTCCACCCTAGGGTTGAGATCCACCCTGGGGTTGAGAACACCTGCCTACTAGCTTTATGGAAACATTTCGACTGGTTGTGTTTTCTGTCTCTGTGTGGTTCTTACTGTGGCCTGCCCTGACTCCCCTGATGCTGGGCAAGCCCACTTGCTAGGACACTTGAGGACGCTTACTTGGTGATTCTTGTTACCACTGTCCTGGTGACTAGCCAGCTGATTCCCAGAATATTTCCTTCCTTCTAGATTATGATGACGGCTTTTCAATGAAGCATACAGCTACCGCCCGTTTCCAGAGAAACCACCGCCTCATCAGTGAGATCCTCAGCGAGAGCGTGGTCCCTGATGTGCGGTCGGTTGTCACAACAGCTAGAATGCAGGTCCTCAAGCGACAGGTCCAGTCTTTAATGGTTCATCAGGTAAGGGCAGAAAACATTCATTCTAATAAGAGGAATCTCTGCCACACGTCCCAAACGATGTGGCTCTGAGACAGTGTATTATAAGTAGACCTGTGAAAAGGTAGGTGCAAACTGAAGAATTTTGGGGCACCCCGTCAACCTTTGCTGCATTACTATAAAATGATTTTCCCAAAGAATTTACTCATTAACATCTTGTTAATGGTAGTCTTTCCTTCCCTATGTTACATTTAAAAAAAAATAGCCAGATTTTATACCTAATTTTTTTTTAATGCAAAATTAGTGGGCTGGAGAGATGGCTCAGTGGTTATGAGCATATACAGCTCTTCCAGAGAACCTGAGTTCAGTTCCCAGAACCCATCTGAGGTGACTCACAACTGTCTATAACTCCAGCTCCTGGGCATCCAACACCCTCTTCTGACCTCCCTGGGCACCTACACCTGTGCACATACCCACATACACATTCACATAATGAAAAATGCAAAATTAAAGTAGAAGCTTTTTAAAATGACATACTTGGTGTGCTTTACATCTGCCTTAGAGAGAAGGTATAACTGTACATAATCTGGTCTGATACCTTGCAGCGAAAACTAGAAGCCGAACTTCTTCAGATAGAGGAGCGACACCAGGAAAAGAAGAGGAAATTCCTGGAAAGCACGGATTCCTTTAACAATGAACTTAAAAGGGTATCCATTCCATTCAATGACTGCCTTTGTCATGTGCCTGTTGCTTTGGTTTTTTCTTAATGTTTGAAACAGTACTAACAACACAATATAACTCATACTGTCTTTATAAAATTATTCCCATTTTTCGGAAAAAATTACAATAAATTTGCAGTGTCATGTAGTATGCATTGAAGGAGTAGACCCACAGGTGATAGATCCCGCTACTGCTTTTGTTTGAGATCTTTGTAGTTGTGAATTATTTTCACTTTATTGTAATTTATTCATGGGTATATTCATTAGATGTAGTTCAGTTGCACTTTGTATTAAAACAAGTAAATCTCAACTGGGCGTGGTGGCATGCACCTTTGATCCCAGGTAGAAGTAAGAGAGTCTCAGTGAGTTCAAGGCCAGCCTAGTCTACATAGTGACGTCTAGGACTACATAAAGAGACCCTGTCTCAGAAAACAAAAAAACTTAAAAAAATGAATGAATGAATAGAGTATTTGGTAGCTGACGTGTGAGTGAGGCATCCTAAGGCTAGCCCAGTCCTGGGCAGTGCCCCAGCAGCCCCTGCCCTGCCATGTCTGGTTTGCTGCTAGAGCAGCTTTTTTGTCCTGTACAGTTTGAGGACAAAACACTGATATGTTTTACTCGCCCATGTAAATACCATTATTAAAGCCAAGAAATAACTTTACCTGATCCCAAGGTCCGAAGAAGGCAGCATTGCTAAGAGTTGTCTGATTTGTGTTTGACTAGTTATGCGGTCTGAAGGTGGAAGTAGACATGGAGAAAATCGCAGCTGAAATTGCACAGGCAGAGGAGCAGGCCCGCAAAAGGCAGGAGGAGCGGGAGAAGGAAGCAGCGGAGCAAGCTGAGCGCAGTCAGGGCAGCATTGCCCCTGAGGAAGAGCAAGCCACAAACAAAGCCGAGGAGAAGAAGGATGAAGAGAGCATCCCTATGGAGACAGGTAACCAGCTCCTTGGCAGGAACATGTGAGGGCCTGATAGCTGCCTTCTGACCTTTCCCTCTGGATGCTCTGCAGCAGCCGCTCCCTTTAGTTAATCTGTGACTTTCCTGTCTCTCCATAGTAGAACCCAGGTGGGCATATGGAAAGGGATCCTGTCCATTTCCCCATTGCTGGCACTGTGACTTTACTGAGCTCATTTCTTCATTGAAAAGTACCTGCCTCTGAGTCCATTCTGGTACTAGATTTGACATAGGATTAATAGGCAATGATAATATTTTAACCTTTACCATTGTCCCCAAGATTCGTTTGGTCTTTGGTACCTAGGCTTTGAGCAAAGTAAAAGCTGTAAGCCAGATCTTGCTTCCATCTTTCTGTAAGTAAAGTTTCACTGGAAGATGGCCACACTCATCTGTGGCTGCTTTGAGGTGATAACGTGTGTGTGTGTGTGTGTGTGTGTGTGTGTGTGTGTGTGTGTGTGAGAGAGAGAGAGAGAGAGAGAGAGAGAGAGAGAGAGAGAGAAAGAGAGAGAGAGAAAGAGAGAGAGAGAATTTTCAGAACTTGTAACAAAGACGTCCTGGCCCACAAAGCCTAAAATGACAGTTATCTAGACCTATGGATAACTGACCTCACCATAGAGCAGATAGAGCAGTTTGCTTTTTGATTCTGATTTTCCTAAATAAAAGCATTTTTGGGGTTTGGTTGTTTGTTGTTTTGTTTTGTTTTTTAAAGTAAGGTTTAGATAAAATACTAATAAATTTGGTTATTCTTGGAATTTTGAGATCAGCTTAATTTCTGGCAGCATAAATTCATGGGTAAACAGGAGTAAGCCAGAGGTAGTCGGGGGATGCCAGTAGAGTTCACAGGAAATAGAAGGGGCACGGGCATACTTTATACTCAAACAGCAACTGCCTGCTCAGGGTTTAATGAACATCAGCACCTCCACCCGGCGGTTATACAGTGTATAACTCAGCAGATTATCTTTTCTGACAAGTCTGGGTTTAATCTTTATTTTCTGGGCCTCTTTCTATTCTTGTGAACCTCTTTTTTACCATGAATTTGAGCCTGGAACACATTGTTGTGGTTACAACGGGTGCTTGAGAATCAGATTCTGCTTGCAACAAGGTTGTGCTCAGTCCTGAGTCAGTTGACTTGAATGAGGTATTTCTTACTCGGGATGTTTACTTTTGTCTTCTAACTTAAGGAAAAGAAAAGGGAGAAGGAACTAAAGGGAAAAAAAATGAGTTGTCAAATACCTTCTGATCTTAACTTCCTAAAGGAAATGACCCAGCAGGACTGGCATTTTACAGCAGAGCGTGGCATCTTCATCCTGTGCCTTCATTTTGTGTGTTTCAGGCAGGATCTTGCTATACTATATTGCCCAGGCTGGCCTCAAGCCCTGGACACAAGCAGTCTTAACCTCAGCCCTCTGAGCAGCTGAAACACCAGGTGCCCATGTGTCTGGCTTCTAGGCTAGAGAGAGCTCGGTGGGTGGGACTGGAGCCCGTGTGTAAACAGCAGGAGTGAAGACTGAGGCAGGCAGATTCCTAGGGCTCATTTCCAGCCAGCCTAGCCTGCTTGGTGACTTCAGGACCAGTGAGAGATCCTGTCTCCAAAAGGTGGACAGTTCTTGAGGAACACAACACTCCTCTAACCTACACATGGTGTGTGCACATGCACACACAAGCACACACACAACAACCATAACTGTCTTATATTCTTTGGTCATAGCAAGTCTTCGAAATCCAATGTGTGTGTTTTGTACACTTCATACTTTAAAAAACTCAGTTCTCACAAGCGTTTGGTTTGTATTTAAATGTTATAAACCTATAGGTTAAAAATGTAGATTTTTGCATTCTAAGTTGTTTCAAATATGCTTAAAAATTCTTAGGTCATACTGGTCCATTTCAGGTGCTTCTCCATGTGTGGCTAGTGGCTGTCATATTGGACAGAATGTCTTCTGCCATCAGCATAGTTAGAGTCAATGTTTGTCTTGGAACTGACAGTGGCAAATGTGTCTTGCAGAGGAGACACACCTGGAAGAAACAACAGAAAGCCAGCAGAATGGTGAAGAAGGCACATCTACTCCTGAGGACAAGGAGAGTGGGCAGGAGGGGGCTGACAGCATGGAGGTCGAAGGGACCAGTGATAGTAATACTGGCTCAGAGAGCAACAGTGCAACAGTAGAGGAGCCACCCACAGACCCCATGCCAGAAGACGAGAAGAAGGAATAAATGTTGCCTTGTTTTATGTGTCCTAAAACTTTTTTAAATGGAAAAAAAAATGTTTTTTTGGTTTTAATGGTGTTATGTGGTCTGTGTATTAATTATTTCCTTTTCCATTGATACCACCAAAGTCTTTTCAACCATCAACATGACAGCCTAATGTCAGGCACGCACCTTTCTTAGTGTCTCGGAAATGGCTTTCCTTTGGATACTGTTGGTAGCTCAACTTCTGAAGCCTCAGAACTGAGATTAATTGAGAAGACACTCAGCTCTTTTCGAGAATTACCTTCGATGCTGCAGAATCTACTCTTACAAATGCCTTCCTTCATCTCACGTGGGTGCTCAGCAAAGCCATAGCTTTAGCCCTTCCCAGCCCTGTCCACAGCTTTCCGAGCCCCTGTCCTGTGTTCTTGTAGAGAGGACCCTCTTGAAAACGTCATGTGAGTACGTTTGTTAACTTGTTATCCTTTGTATTTCTAATGTCAGATCCAGGAGTTCTCTTCCAGGGTGGAATGTAGCCTGAGACTGACTCCACGTAGTTGGACTGGTGCAGCAGTGTCTCCATGGTAGAGTAGTTACGGTGTGAGTCGTCATTGGAGTGAGCACAGCACGTGTACTTTATAGTGTTTTCATTCTAGTTAATATGGGATGTGTTCTGGGAAATTCATCCTCACTGTACAGGGGAAAAGAAATTCTTTTTTAAAACCAGGTTGGTTTTCCAAAGACATGATAGACAACAGAGCTTAAGAATGGAATATTCTTATAATGGACTACAAACTTAAAACTTAGCCTATTCCAGAAGAAAAAAAGTAATAAAGTTTATCCACTTGAACATATTTTACAGTGATGAAAACCTCAAGGCTTGAGATTCCATAGATCAGAGCCTACCTTTTTGATAAATCCTTGGTAGTCTTAGAGACCAGAAACAAGATAGTTTGTGGTGTATGCTTCCTAAAACCTAGAATAGATTTTTACTGAATAGTGGTATATATTATGGTATATGTTTCTTAAAGGTCCAAACATAATAAAGATATGAAGATAAAGGTTTCAGTGTTTTTATTGCACTATAGAAGATAAAAGACAGGCATATAATTTGACCCCTATGATACATGAGCATCATAGACTGTCACACATAAGTCTCATGAGCTGTCAGTGTTAATCAGACTGGAGAAATCTCTGGTGTCTGAATAGTATATGAGAAGTGTGGCTAAGTAATGAATATAGCCTGTGCTAATGTGGGGACACTACCCCTGCACTCCTCAGTTACAGTAACTCGCTGCAGTTGACCACGCAGCGTCCCTAGTGTCCAAGTCTACGCCATTCAGCTTCCTGAGAGGAAGACAAATGTGTGAGGTCATCCTTTGGTCAATGTTTCCACGATTCTAAGTAGAACAGTTCCTTGTGAATCAAAGAATTTTGTTACCAACTGGTCTACTTTGGGTGTTGAGCTGGTAGAGCAAGAATTCAAAATGTCTCATTCCAGACAAGTTGGATAGCTACAGATAGAATCCTCTGGTAGGTGGAATGGAGCAGAAAACATGAGGTCTTGGGTTATTCCGGTGCCAAGAGCCTGGAGGCGTCTCCGCCTGCACTGAGGGCAGCACTGGGAAAGGAGCTCCCGACCAAGGCTGCCGAGAGGAGACTGCTGGCACTGGCCAGAAAGTGAACCTCCGTGGGGAAGGATTGAAGTGAGGTTTCTGTTAGGCTAGTGCATGTAGATACCAGTGTTTGAGAACACAGACTATGATAGGCCTTTGATGTCCTGCACCCCATAGGCCTTGGACAAGAAGCTTAAATCAAGTCTATAAAATACAGAAATACCTTAAGTCTCTCTATCCTCACATGACCTGTACTTGTTTTATGATTGCTATATTTAAGGGTCTTTTAGGTTCTAAGGAAAATGGGAAATTCATATTTTCTGCAGCTTGCCTAGACAAGCTACAGGCCTTCCTCTAGATAACTGAGCTGTCCGGAACAGCTAGGTGCGGCATAAAGGCATTCCTGTCAGCCAAAGGCTTGGTGTCAGACTGGTCCCACCACTGACACAGGAGCTAGAAATGCCTGTTAGAATTTCCACCATACTCTCGGGTGTTTAGGTACAAATGCTTCCTGTTGGATTATGGTGGCCTATATTATGGAGTATGGTGACACTTGGTACTGAATTAAGAGGCAGGACAAAAGAAAAATCATGAGGTCATGGAAGCAGAAAGGGGCTGCTCACCAAGGATTATGGTTGAAGCCTCTTGAAGACTAAGCGAGAGCTTGAACACAGCTGACATTTGCCGTGAAGGCCGCTAACAGAGATAACATTCCTTTCAGATGTGGGTGTTAGAGCAATGACGCCGCCTTAGAGTCTAGAACTGGGTGGCCTTGTAGGGCCCCACTCCTTTACCCAGGCATTTTCTAGGAATTTTAACATCAACTTTGTTACAGTAATGATTTCCTGCTCCTCCCTCGACAGTTTATAATCCTGTCAGTGACCCTTGGGAACCACCCTGTGATCTCATTTGGGTTTCTTCACAACCCTTTGAAGATAATAGCTTCAAAACCCAAAATTCTCTATATGACTATTGTAAAAACGATGAAGTGTGACGCCGAGAAGCCCACACACGTGCTCTCGGGATTTTCTTTCTTTCTGAACCCCTCTCTGACTGTGGCTTAGGAAATCTAAACTAAGATACCTCTAAGACAGAGCTGGTTCAGTGACTAAGATAAGAGCATTAGTTATTCTAGAAGATCCGGATTTGAGTCCCAGCACCTGCATGGCAGCTCACAACCATCTGGAACTCTAGCTCCAGAGGATCAAAAGCCACCTTCTGACCTCTGAGGGTGCCAGGCATGCAGGCGGTGCACATCCATACATGCAGGCAAAACCCTCAAACCTTTCTTAAAGAAAACTGTAATAAGCCCTACTCTGCTTCATACTGTCTAGTCCAGAAATTATTTACTATGCCCAAGCCAATGATGTCAAGTCTCTTGAAAGATAAGAGAACACCTAAGCTTTGAGGCAGCAATGTGGAACTGTCTACCTATTCATAGACTTGACAGGTCTGTAGCAGGGGTGCATGCATATCAGCTAGGGTACACTTCATGATGTTTGCTTGGCAAAAATAATCCAACAATGTCCCTTTTACTAAGTGATAGATAGCTATATATAATTATTTTGTTTTTTTGAGACCGGGTCTCTCTCTAGCCCTGGCTATACGTAGACCAGGCTGACTTTGAACTAACTCAGATCCATCTGCCTCTGATTCCCAAGTTCTGGGATTAAAGGCCTATGCTACCACTGAGCAGTTACATTCTTTAAAGCAGAGAATTAGGGAGAAGCAAAATGCTATCTCATTTTGGCACAATAATGTAAAGGCCAGATGGGAAATATATAGTAGATACAAGGACTATCCAAAAAGGAATCGGGTCATGGATGGCTACTGAGTGTAGCTAACCTGCATCCAGATCTTTGGCTTAGCTCCTCCCCATTTCCACACCAGCTCTGGAAAGGAGACAGTTGGCTCCGACAGGATGAAACACCCATAGCCTGCAGTTAAATTGGAGCGTTAGTGTTTCATGTGAACAAGCAATGGAGCAGAGATCATAATTTGTTAAATCCTCATTTTAGAAACAGTTCCCCTCCACCCCGAAGCGCTACCCCAGCAAGTCTCCACCTGGTTTCCTCTCCTGCTTTGGCTTTATCTTGTTGCTCTGAATTCACCCTGCAGCAACCTTGCAGGGACAACTACTGCCGACTTCCTAATGATCTGCACTTCAGATGGCTTTATGGGTTCCAAATGGAAGACAGACTGCTGGGGAACAAGCTTGAAGGCCCTTTAGAAGACACCATGCTGGATTATAACTCAGCTTGCTGGGAAAAAGTGTCTTCCATCGGTATGGTAAGGAAAACAGTTTAGTACAAAATGATATGAGTGTGGTATTAACCAGCAAAACTGTTTATAAATGTCTTAATTGTCATCTTGAATCACATGCAATTGCCCAAATAGGTTGATTGGTTTGCTTTTGTCTGCATGTGTGGTTGTTTACATGATCATGTGTGTGTGCAGGTGCACACACACATGTACATGTGGAGACCAGAGGTTGATGACAAATGTCTTCCTCTGTCATTCTCTACCTCTATTTTTAGACAGGTCTCTCACTGAATCCCAACTGACTTAACTAGTTGAATCTGGCCAGCAAGTTCCTGGGATCTCCATCCTGCCCCTAGCCAGCCTCCTCCTCCCCCTACCAAGCATTGAGATTATAGGTACACACCACTGTGCCCAGTCTGCACTTTGCCAACTAAGTCACCGCCCATGTTTTCTACAGAATGACAGGCCCACCTGCTTGCTAACAAGTCTGCATTTAACCCCACAAGTACAACTGCTTGCTTGCAGTTTTGAGAAAGAAATGACATTTGCAGTTTCCCAGACTGATGTGCATTCTCTTGTAGCTTTAGTGTTCAAGGAAACTCAGTAAAATTCCAATCCCAAGGTACTTAGTATTGAACATCCTGATCTTTTATCTTCATTATGTGTTAGTGTCCGTGTATGCATGGGAATGCAGTTACCACCAGAGGCCAGAAGAGGACATCAGATCCCCTGGTGCTGGGATTACAGGCTGTCGTGAGCCACCTGATGTAGGTACTAGGAACTGAACTTGATTCTTCTGCAAGTGCAGCAAGGCCTCTTACCCACTGAGCCATCTCTCCCTTCCTAACTTGCTGGTGTTCACACCCCAGTAGCCATATAGTCAAACCACCTGTTTGGGTTCACATGGTTTCACTATCAACAATGTTTTTCTTCATTTACTTAAAAAGTAAAAAATGTTAAGTAGGGAGGGGAAATTCCCAAATGCAGTTTTCTCTTTACATAAAAGTCAGATAGTATCTACAGATATTGGCCCCTTTTGATGCACCATTTGAAAACAAGAGAGTGACATTCAGGAGAGGCAACCTTAAAGGAGTCACCTCCACCTCCTGCCAAGCATTTGGTCCATAGGTCCCCCAAGGGCACCATATTCTGTTTAAATAAATACCTCTGGTCTAGGATAACCCACTGTCTCTTATGACAGCTCATTACATCCATG